GCCCGGCCTGTGTCGGACTTCTTTCCCACTTCACATAATGTCGTCAATGCTTATCCGTGTTGTAACTTCATTCAGAAAGGAACTCTTTTATGGTTAAATAATATTCCATCGTATGGGTCTACCACGTTTTGTTTATCCATTCATCTGCTGATGGAAATTGGATTGTTTACATCTTTTGGCTATTGTGAATAGTGCTGCTATGAACACTTGTGTACAGGTTTTTGTTTGAACACCTGTGTTTTTTGTTTGTTGTTTTGCTCTGTCACCTGGGCTAGAGTGCAGTGGTGTCATCATAACTCACTGCAAGCTCAAACTCCTGGGCTCAAGCGATCCTCCTGCCTCAGCCTCCCGAGGAGCTGGGACTACAGGCATGTGCCACCATGCCCGGCTAATTTTTTCTATTTTTGTAGAGACAGGGTCTCACTCTATTGCTCAGGCTGGTCTCAAACTCCTGACCTCAAGTGATCCTCCCGCCTTGGGCTCCCAGAGTGCTAGGATTATAGGCATGAGCCACCTGGCCTGGCCTGAACACCTGTATTTAATTCTTTTTGGGTATATACCTGGGAGCGGAATTGCTGGGTCATATGGTAATTCTGTATTTAACTTACTGAGAAACCTGCGAACTATTTTTCACAGTGGCTCTTTATCGATTTTTAAAATAGGCAATATATTCACGTGGTTGAAAATCATAATGATATAAAAAGTTGTTGAGTGAAAAATCTCCCATGTACCCTGCTCCCCACCCCTCCTGTGATCCAGAATTATCCGGCTCTAGGAATGTCCCAACTTAAGACCACCATACCTCCCCAGCAGATCCATTTGGGTTTCTTTTATGTCCTTTGAGAATCTACCTATTCAAATGCAAGTAAATGTGACACTTTTTTATTTTTCTTTCTTGCACATAAAAAGTAGTATATGATCCATATTATAATACCACTTCCTTTTTTTTTCTTAATACATCCTGGCAAGCTTCCCATAACAGAACTTGGGAAACACCCCCATTCTTTTTTTAGTATCTATGCAATATTCCATTTATATTCTAACACTGTAGTGCTGCAGTTTATTTAAATAGCCTCCCACTGGTGAACACTTGGGTTGTTCCAATCTTCTGCTATTAGAAAATCACGCACTAGCAAAATACATCCTGCGCTGTGTCCGTCACTTTGCATGTTGATCCGGGCTTCGAAGGGCTTAGGTGGAAAGGTAGGGACTTGGGAAAGAAGATACTGAAGGGTCTGGTCCTGGCGTGTTAGAGTGAGATGGAAGTGGGCAGGGCCAGGGGTAGAGGTGGGCTCTGGGACCCTATTGTCTGAATTTGAGTCTTGCCTCTTGTCCCAGAGTGGCCTTCGGCAAGCCACCCCGCCCCCGGCCTCAGTCTCTCGTTGGGTAAAATGGGGAAGAAGGTTGGGTTGACAGGTCTTTTCTGGCTCTGATGTGGCCTGGGGGGTGTGGAGACTTGGGGACAGTCCAGAGAGGGACTCACACATGTGCCCCATCCCTGGCTGGCACAGGTCTCGATTGTCCGCAGTACGACCATCACCCTCACACCCAGCGCAGAGACAGACGTGTCCCTGGTCTACCGTGGCTTCATCCACCCTCTGCTGCCGGGAGGGCCAGGCGGTCCGGGGGCTGAGGATGTGACCGTGTGGGCCCGGGCCCAGCGCCTACATGTCCTGGCCCGGATGGCCCGTGGCCCTGACACAGAAAACATGGTGAGGGTGCTTGGGACACTCGGGGGGTGGTTGTGGGAAAGATGGGGTTGGGGGTGTGGCGCAGGACACACGTGGTGATTTAAAGGTGCCGGGGAGTACTGGGGAGGACTCAGAAGCGTGGGATCTAGCCTTAGTGGGGGAGCGAGGGCTGTGGGGTCCTCATTTGGGAACAGAATTTGGGGGAACGTCGAAGAAGGTGAGGAAGGTCTGAGTCAGACTTGCCTGAGGAGTCAGAGTCTCCTGAGGAGGAGTTGGGTCGCGGTGGGGGGCTGGGGCGCCTTGGAGGTTATTGGGATCTGAGAAGTCCCGAGGCCCAGCCCCCCTTCTCAGGAGGAGGGCGCTAGGTGGGTTTGGAGCTCTTGGAGGCTTCAGGGGTCTGAGGAAGGAGTATGAAGGGTTCTGAGGCCCCTGTGTGTCGCTTACCCCTACCCAGGAGGAGGTGGGGCGCTGGGTGGCTCAGCAGGAGAAGGAGACGAGGCGGCTGCAGCGCCCAGGGTCTGCTCGCCTCTTCCCAATGCCCGGGCGGGGCCACAAGTACGCGGTCGAGATCCGGGGCCAACTCAACGGCTCAGCGGGCCCTGGGCACAGCGAGCTCACTCTGCTGTGGGATCGGACTGGTGTGCCAGGCGGCAGCGTGAGTACCCCGGATCCGGCCTCTGACCCTAGCCCTGGCCCTGGCCTCAGATTCCCGCACTTTCTGAACCCCAGGCCACAAACTTGAGCTCCCTGGATCCTGACCTCTGGCTCCTTGTCTCTCGGCCTCTGAAGTCTGAACCTCACCTTGAACCCTCTGGACCCCACCCTCTGGTTCCCTACCCTGACCCCATATTTTGAGCCCTGTCCACATCTCCTTCTCTGACCCTGCTGACCCTGACCTCTGCCCTCCATACTTTGATCTGTAGGTCCCCCAGACCCTGACCCTCTTTGTCTGCTGAGTCCCTGAAGCCTGCCTTCTGCATGCCCGAGTTCTCGCCCTGGTCTCCAGACCGTACCTCTGGCTAGCTCCAGACTCTGACCCCTACCCCGAGCCTTGATTCCTACCCCTCACGTGACCCTCCTGCAGGAGATCTCCTTCTTCTTCCTGGAGCCCTACCGCTCAGCAGCCTGTGCCTCCTACTCCTCCTGCCTGGGCTGCTTGGCAGACCAGGGCTGCGGCTGGTGCCTGACCAGTGCCACCTGCCACCTGCGCCAGGGCGGGGCCCATTGCGGGGATGATGGGGCTGGTGGATCCCTGCTGGTGCTGGTGCCTGCCCTCTGCCCACTCTGCGAGGAGCATCGAGACTGCCACGCCTGCACCCAGGTGCCCGAGGGCCCCCGGGGAAGGTCTCAAGATGGAGGCAGCCAGAACAGGCGACTGGAAAGGGCCCCCTAGAGCCGGCCTGAGCAGTCCAGGGGCTCCCTGGTGGGGGGCTGGGGGAGCAGCTGGGGCTGTTGTCCTTGATCTGCAGGCAAGAGCCAGGTGGGGAGTGGAGGAGGTGGGCCTGGAGAGATAAGCACCTGGGAGTTAGGGCTCTCCCTATAGCAGGGGCCAGAAAATGCAACTCAACCCGCCGTCACAGTGGGGGACTTGTGAGCTCAGGCACGCAGAGCCCAGGAGTGGGTCTTTCGGCCTGCTAGCTGCAGCGGTTAAATACTGTCGGGTGTCCCCCTCCCTCCAGTCTACATCCTCTTCTTCCCAGAGAGGGTTTGTCCCTTGTGAGTTGCAAGGAAGCCACCAGGGCTCCAGGCTTCCATCTGTCCCTGCTCAGTCCCAAGTGGAGTGAGCCTTCCTTTCTGTCTCCCACCCCGCCCCACTGCCACCCACCAGTTCAACAGAAGTCTCGGAGTTGCATTTCATTGGCTCTGGTTGGGCCTCGTGCAGGCCCCTGGACCAATGCCGAGGTTGCGGGAAGGGAGTGTGGTCCTTCGCCCACCTTTGGATCCTGAGGATTGAATCAGCCCCACCTGGATGACACAGAAGGGGTGCTGTTGCCCAGAGATGGGGATGGGTGCCAGGCAGGCAGAACCACGGATGTCTGTGGCTGAAGGGGAAGGTGCAGAGAGGCAGGCAGCTGGGGAGGGAGTAGGGTTTGGGGGGTGGTCTCTGGAGTGGGGCCAACGAGGGCGGCAGGTGCTTTTTGAGCAGGTGGCAGGGTGGGCACTGGGAGCCCAAAGGAGTGGGATAAGCAGGGTTCTGCCTCTTCTGTCCAACTACCCCCCTGCAGGACCCCTTCTGCGAGTGGCATCAGAGCACCAGCCGCAAAGGGGACGCAGCGTGCAGCCGGCGGGGCCGTGGTCGGGGTGCCCTGAAGAGTCCGGAGGAATGTCCCCCGCTCTGCAGCCAGTGAGCCGGCTGGGTCCAGGGAGCAGGCGGATGGGTGCCTGGGGGCTGGGCTGGGCCGTGGAGTGACCTGGCCCCCCGCCCCCAGGCGCCTGACCTGTGAGGACTGCCTGGCCAACTCCAGCCAGTGCGCCTGGTGCCAGTCTACTCACACCTGCTTCCTATTTGCCGCCTACCTGGCCCGGTACCCGCACGGGGGCTGCCGCGGCTGGGACGACAGGTGCAGTGCCTAGGGTGTGGATCACAGAGGGAGGGTTCCACCCGAGGGTCCTGGACCCTGACCCCCCCACCCCTGTGGCCCTACAGTGTGCACTCAGAGCCGCGGTGCCGGAGCTGCGATGGCTTCCTGACCTGCCACGAGTGTCTGCAAAGCCACGAGTGTGGCTGGTGTGGCAACGAGGACAACCCCACGCTGGGACGGTGAGCCCGGGCGGGGGCAGGGGCGCGTGGCCCTGCTACCCCTGTCACTGGCCATTCTGACAGCCGCCTTGTTTCTCTGCCCTTCGGCCCGACCCGTCTGTGGCTGCCTGTCCTTTCCGTACTGTCGTCTGTCTGTTTTTCCCCCCTTCCCCTCTTTCTGTTTGTTCTCCTTTTCTCGGTCTCTGGGACTCGTTTTCTCTCACCTTTCCTTCTTTTCTTTCTTTCTCCTCGCCTTTCTGTTTTTGTTCTCCTCCTCCCTCCCTTTTCCTCTCTTCTGTCTTTTAAATCTTTTTTGTGTGCAACTGCTCTTGGTTTCTCTGTCTGTCTCTCCATGTTCATATTTCTGTTTCTCTGCCTCTGGGCCTCTCTCCCTGTCACTGTTTCCCTGTCCCCTGTTTTTATGTTGTCCCCCCAACCTTCTTCAATCTCCCTACAGGTGCCTGCAGGGAGACTTCTCGGGGCCCCGGGGTGGGGGTAACTGCTCCCTGTGGGTCGGGGAGGGCCTGGGGCTGCCCGTGGCCCTCCCTGCCCGTTGGGCGTACGCGCGCTGTCCAGACGTGGACGAGTGTCGTCTGGGCCTGGCCCGGTGCCACCCGAGGGCGACCTGCCTGAACACGCCCCTCAGCTACGAGTGTCACTGCCAGCGGGGCTACCAGGGCGATGGCATCACACACTGCAACCGCACGTGAGTGAGGCAGGGGTTGCCATGGAGATGTCGCCCCAGGGCTGGGGCTTCTGAGGATAGAGGGAGGAAGCCATCCTGGCACTGGGATTCCGCCCATGGAACCAGCATCTCTAATTAGCCTGAGGTTTTTACCTTGCAGGCTAGGCCCTCATTAGAGTGACAGGGTCCCCAGCATAACTCTGGTTACCATGGAAACAGGTAACCCCTAGGCTGTGGGCCATAGTCTTTAGTGCCATGGAGATGGAGGAGGACCCAGTTGAAAGGGTGTTTTCACAGTGGTGCTATGTGGTTGCTATGGAGACAGGCATGACGATGTGTGATGGGGTTACCTTGGAGACAGGGTCATCCACGTACTCAGAACTATGGAAACAGGCAGGGGCTTTGATGGGGTTGCGGAGGATAGAGACGATGGGGGCTTGGGAGCTGTGGGCCTGTCTGTCCCCTTCCCCACCCCTGACATGGCCCCTCAGGTGCCTGGAGGACTGTGGCCATGGTGTGTGCAGCGGACCCCCGGACTTCACCTGCGTGTGTGACCTGGGCTGGACGTCCGACCTGCCCCCGCCCACACCCGCCCCGGGCCCCCCGCCCCCCCGCTGCTCCCGGGACTGTGGCTGCAGCTTCCACAGCCACTGCCGCAAGCGGGGGCCTGGCTTCTGCGATGAGTGCCAGGGTGAGCAGCCTCATCCCCGGTCCTGGTTCTGGCCTTGGGCCTCCTCCCTCTCAGGCTCCAGCTTCTGCTGTGAGTGGGCTCCGGGCTCCCCTCGAGCAGTTCTGGGTCCCCGGCCCCACTCCCAGCTCTTGACTCAGGCAGGTTTCGGTGTAACCAATCTCAGGTCCCCCGCTTGGGACTTGCCGTTTCCCCCTAGTCTGGGCCTTGGTTTCTCTCCTCTGAAGCAGCTGGGTGGGGGTCAGGGATCAGCTAAGCCAGTTGGTCTAGGGCCCTTCCTGTCCTTGTCACTGACCCTGCGTCCCACCTGCTGGGGCCTCCACAGACTGGACGTGGGGGGAGCACTGCGAACGGTGCCGGCCCGGCAGCTTCGGCAATGCCACGGGCTCGGGCGGCTGCCGGCCCTGCCAGTGCAACGGGCACGGGGACCCACGCCGTGGCCACTGTGACAACCTCAGCGGGCTCTGCTTCTGCCAGGACCACACTGAGGGTGCCCACTGTCAGCTCTGCACCCCAGGCTACTACGGGGACCCCCGGTGAGCCAGGGCGCCAGCCAGAGCTGGGTAGGGTGGCCTCAGGGACATGGTGGCCTGGGCAGGACTGGTCTGACACTGGCTCTCCTCCATCTTCCCAGGGCCGGTGGCTCCTGCTTCCGGGAGTGTGGGGGTCGCACCCTCCTCACCAACGTGTCCTCAGTGGCACTGGGCTCACGCCGGGTTGGGGGGCTGCTGCCTCCAGGTGGCGGGGCTGCAAGATCCGGGCCTGGCCTGTCCTATTGTGTGTGGGTTGTCTCAGCCACTGAGGTGCTACAGCCGTGTGCCCCTGGGACCCTATGTCCCCCACTCACCCTCACCTTCTCCCCTGACAGCAGCACCCCCTGCACGGTGAGCACTGAGGAGGCTAGGGTCAGGCCCACGAACCAGAGCCCTGTCTCCCCCGACCCCACGTCCCCAGGCAGACCCTATCCCAGAGGTTGCTGTCTTTGTTTTTATCCTTCAAACCCCAAACTCTGCTCCTCAGATCCCAGCCCTTTGTTCCTAAGCCCATAGACCCTCCTATTTCCCAGATCCCTTCCTGTTTTCTGAATTCCTTTCCCCGTTCTCCAGATCCGCAAACTCTCCTCTCCCAAACCAGGGATGGTACATTGTTACGCCTTTTGTGCCAACTCCCATCGACTGGCCGTGGCTGCCAGGAGCTGTGTATTGAGAAAGAGGCTCGCTGCAAGCGTGCCTGGTCTATTGGCCATGTCTGCTTTGGATATAGGATGGGCAGTGGTGGCCTCCATGCCACACTGTGACAGTCTGCCCTGGATGTTCAGACAGCCCATTTCCCGGTGTCAGATGGCCCTCTCCTCTGGAGCCCCGCCCCTCCCCACCCCGGGTGCCCTCTTTCTTATCCTCATTGTCCTCTAATCCTTGACTCTCACCCCTCCAGCTGAGCTACGTCCTGGCCTTTGACGGATTCCCACGCTTCCTGGACACGGGTGTCGTCCAGTCGGACCGTAGCCTCATAGCCGCCTTCTGTGGCCAGCGGCGGGACAGGCCGCTCACGGTGCAGGCCCTGTCTGGTATGGGTGCTGGGGGAAGTGGGGTCTCTCTGCCCTGGGCTGTGTGTCCCTCACCCCTGAACTTACCACCTGAAGTGGGATCAGGACCCAGCTCGACTCTGCCGCTGACTTGCTGGGTGATGTAGTCCGTCATGATCCCTGGGCCTCAGTTGCCTCAGTTTCCCCAGTTAAGGGGCAATAGAGAGGATTGTGCTCTTTGGGCCACCGCTGTGGAGAGACGGGCTGAGCGGGACGTGTCTTTGGAGCATGTCGGATGTGGCTGGTTTGAGTGCCTCTGAGCAGCTCCTCAGCCTTGTACTTCTCAACCAGGGGTGATTTTTGCCCCTCAGAGGCCATTTGGCAATGTCTGGCGACATCTTGGTCATCATGACCAGGGGAACGACTGGCATCTAGTAGGTGGAGGCCAGAGATGCTGCCGTGTGTTCTGTCACGCACACGACAGTCCCGCAGCAAAGAATTACCAGGCCCCAAACGCCAACAGTGCCGAGAGGCCGAGAAACCCCGTGTGGTCTGACAGAGACACGGGAGAAAGAATTTGCTACCCGCAACAGTTAAAGGGCCTGAGTTTGGGAAAGCTTTGCTTCGTGTTGTAAACCAGAGTGGCTCCAAAGCTTGGAGACAAAGGGGCAAAGGGACAAAGTTGCAGTTGGCCTGCTGGAGACTGCATGAGCCCCCAGGCCCCTGCCAGGGAGCCCCTAGAGCTGAGCTGGTTTCCTTTCACTCGGCAAATATTCACTGAGCACCCGCGGTAAACCAGGCCCGAGCCAGACCCCGCGGATACAGCAGTGAGGGACGGACACAGGCGCTGCCCTCGGGGACCCGTGGCGTGGGGTGCAAACTGCGTGGAACAAAGCATGCTCAGGGGAGTCATGCCTTTGCCGAGGACTGGGAAGGAGTGGACAGGAGTGGGTACCTGCCCTCACCCGGGGAGCCAGGAGGGCTTCTTGGCGAAGGTGAAATTTGACTTGTGACATGAAGCCAGAGGCGTGGTGGCACAAGGCTCCTCCAGGTGGAGCAGTCGCAGGTGCCAAGGCCCTGAGACCAGGAAGGGGCCAGGAGGCGCTGGGGTGCAGAGAGCAGGGAGAGTGGGGGGTCATGAGGTCAGAGGATCAGCAAGGCTCTGTGAGCCCCAGAGGGGACTCTTTGTTTACATATAACTATATTAAGGCATGTTTTCTATGTCCTAACATGTGACATAATTAGTTCCTGCCCCCCTCAAACCCAGTCTTACATAAGAGCAGTAGGGAGCTATGGAAGGTTCATGTTTCTGAGGATCGCTGGACTGCTGCGAGGGTGGGGTGTAGGCAGCCAGGGAGACCGGCGGGGGTTGGGCACAGTGTCCAGGTAAGACGGGACACTGGATTGGACAGCCGCCAGGGAGGTGGCAAGCGACGAACTTGAGTGATCCAGGCTTTCACACTGATGGGACTTGATGGTTGGCCGAGGGAGGGGCGTTCAGGAGAACAGTTAATCATGACGGTGATTATAAATGATGGGGCCTTGCTTCCCTGCCCAGTCACACTGAGTTTTCTCAACACCTGGGGGCACAGCAGTGTGCCTGGAGCATGGCTTCACTGTAAGCCTCTGGCCTGTCTCTGCAGGGCTGCTGGTGCTACACTGGGAGGCCAACGGCTCCTCATCCTGGGGCTTTAACGCCTCGGTGGGCTCTGCCCGCTGTGGGTCAGGGGGCCCTGGGAGCTGCCCTGTGCCCCAGGAGTGCGTGCCCCAGGATGGAGCTGCAGGCGCTGGGCTCTGCCGATGTCCCCAAGGCTGGGCTGGCCCACACTGCCGCATGGCTCTGTGTCCTGAGAACTGCAATGCCCACACTGGGGCAGGGACTTGTAACCAGGTACGGATGGAACAGGGCAAGCCGGGTGGGACAGGGGTGGTGATCAGGACTCCCGTGAGCCTCCTTCTGTTGTCCCCTAGAGCCTGGGCCTGTGCATCTGTGCTGAGGGCTTTGGGGGCCCTGACTGTGCCACGAAGCTGGATGGCGGGCAGCTGGTCTGGGAGACCCTCATGGACAGCCGCCTCTCAGCTGTGAGTTGTGGACGCTCCGTCTCTGGGGACATGCCACACAGTCCACCTGGATCATTCTCCCACCCCCGCTCCTGGGACCACCCCCAGACCCTATACCCAGGCCTGACACTTGGTTTTGACGTTAGCCTGACCCCTGACTCCCCCACCCCCACCCCCAGGACACTGCTAGCCGCTTCCTGCACCGCTTGGGGCACACCATGGTGGAGGGACCTGATGCCACCTTGTGGATGTTTGGGGGCCTAGGCCTGCCCCAGGGGCTGCTGGGAAACCTGTACAGGTGAGGACAGCCCTGGGGAGGTGGGATACCTGAAGGAGAGGAGGCCTCCTCAGGAGATGCTGAGATGTCTGTCATCTAAGAGTCACTTCAGGGGGGTGCAGAAAAACCTCTAAGGTGACTGACACCCCAAAGGATGCTGGGACATTTGTCATAGGAGGCTCACCTGTGGACACCTGGGAACTAGGGTACTTATTTGGGTGGTGCTACCCCAGGGGATGGTAAGATGATTGTCATAGGAAGGTTACCCTAGGGGATGCTGGCACATCTGTCAGGGAGAGTCACCTTTAAGGATGCTGGGAGGACTGTAACGAGGCTGCTTTTTTGCACGTTGGCCTCAGGTACTCAGTGAGCGAGCGGCGGTGGACACAGATGCTGGCAGGAGCTGAAGACGGGGGCCCAGGCCCGTCACCCCGCTCCTTCCACGCAGCTGCCTATGTGCCTGCTGGCCGTGGTGCCATGTACCTGCTGGGGGGACTCACAGCTGGAGGTGTCACCCGTGATTTCTGGGTCCTCAACCTCACCACCCTGCAGTGGCGGCAGGAGAAGGTGAGCATCTCTCCTCACCCCACCCCAGTCCCCTCCCCAGGCTCTGGCAAAGGCAGCCACAGCGGATCCTGCTGGCTTCACCACTAGAGGAAACAGTGTCCTGGGCCTCCAGTAGAAGCCCCAGAATTGAATTTCCTAGGTCATCCTAGGTCACGTTGTAGTCCTGAGCCAGTCCTTGGCTAAGGCGGTGTGATCCGCTGGTTGGCCAGGCTGGGACAGAGAGAGCAGAGGAGCCAGGCTTCCCGAAGCCACTGCAGGCCACCCCTGGATGATGAGCAGGTGGAAATGACTAGAGACCTGCCGGGACCTGGTTGGAAGGCCTGGGGTCTGACCGGCCCTGGGAGCTCACTACCTCCTTGGCAGCTCAGAGGAGACTGTGGGGAGCTGAGTCTCGCTTCTACCCACAAGGTGACCCCTGACCTCCAGCCCCCTTGGTGACCTTTGCCCTCCATCTCTCAGGCTCCTCAGACCGTGGAGTTGCCGGCAGTCGCTGGTCACACCCTCACTGCCCGCCGAGGCCTGTCTCTGCTCCTGGTGGGTGGTTACTCCCCCGAAAATGGCTTCAACCAGCAGCTTCTCGAGTACCAGCTGGCGACCGGCACCTGGGTGTCAGGAGCCCAGAGCGGAACACCCCCCACAGGTGGGGCTGGGGCCCGGGAGGGCACAGGACCCTTTGACCTCCCAGCTGTCCAGGCTTTATGTAGACTCCGCCTGCTCCATAACCTGTGGTCACTGCCTGCCACACCTTGTTATCTCCCTGTCTTCCCCGGCCCCCACCCAGCTGCCCAAGGGTGCCATCTTTTGAAATGTTCAGTTCCTCTATTTTCCCCTCCCACACTCCATAATAAACTGCCCACTTCCTGCCACATGTGGTCACCCTCTGCCTCCCCCTGGTAATTCTGAGATCACCGCTCCTCAGGGGTTCTCCTTTCTCTGTGTTTCCTTCTACATTCTTTGGTCACTGTTCCCTAGACGATCTGGTCACCCTCCTTCCTCAGAGCCTGTGAAAACTTCCCAAGGATGGATTACTCTCTTCTCTTTCCCAGAGCCTCCAGCGATTGTCCTTTAGAACCGCAGGGAGAGGGGAGGGTTGGGAGGGACTCCCGGGTCTCTGGCCTCAGGGCCCATAGGGTAGTGATGTGGTCACTGAGCGGGCGAGCCCAGGAGGTCATCGGGGGGCATTGCTGGTGGCCAGCCCTTCCCCAGCCTGTGGTCATTTGCCCCCACCAGGTCTCTATGGTCATTCTGCGGTCTACCACGAGGCCACTGACTCCCTCTACGTGTTTGGGGGCTTCCGATTCCACGTGGAGTTGGCGGCCCCGTCCCCGGAGCTCTACTCCCTGCACTGTCCTGACCGCACCTGGAGCCTGCTGGCCCCTTCTCAGGGGTCAAAGGTCAGGAAAAGAGGTCCTAGACCGATAGACGTGGGGGCCATGGGGGAGGTGCCCCCTTTTGCAGTGCCCCAGGGACTGGCTCCATCCTGGATTTCTGCTTCCTCTCCTTTCTAGTCCCCTGACTGAGCTGTGACACCCCCACGTGTCCCTTGCCTCCATCCCTGATTTGGAGGAAAGCTCCTAGGCTAGTGGGTCAGAGGCCTGAGTTCTGCCCTCACGCTTGCTGTGGCCCTGGCGGGCCCCTTCCCCTTCCCTCCCTACCTATAAAAAGTGGGGCCGAGGCCCCTTGCTCCTTGCACCTCCTGCCTGAGGCCAAGGAGGCAGTGCGTAGGATGACGGGGAGACCTGGCTATGCTGGTTGGGGACGCTTGCGTCTTCAGTCCACATAGGTTTCCAAGCCCGTTTTCGGGGAGGGGGAGGTGAAGCAAGAGATTCAGGGGAGCCTTACCCCAGGACCACCCCACCCAGCTGCTGAGATCACATGAAGAATGACGGGGCTCATCTCAAGGGGTCTGGGCCAGGTTCCTGGAGGGCAGCCTGGGTCGTGGGGGTTCTAGGGGCTCAGGGGGAAGGAGATGGCTTTGTGAGCTGCTCTTGGGGATACGGGAGGTCTCCTGGAGGAAGGAGGGAGATTCCAGGAAGGTTGGGATTGGGTGGCCTGCTGGGGGACAGGTAGGGAAATCCAAGGGTGGCGGGTGGGCTGGGAGAGAGCGCGTGGAGCAGAGGACAGTTCCGACAGGCCATCCCTGCCACATGTCTCCCCAACAGCCCCGCCCCCGGCTCTTCCATGCCTCAGCCCTGCTGGGGGACACCATGGTGGTTCTTGGGGGGCGCTCAGACCCCGACGAGTTCAGCAGCGATGTTCTGCTCTACCAGGTCAACTGCAATGCCTGGCTTCTGCCCGACCTCACCGGTAAGTCCCCAGCGCTGTCCCCAGGAAGGCTGGGGATATCCAGGAGGCACCCCATCCCCTCCTGGGACCTCCCCTCATCAGGAGTCACTCAGGCCTTCAGACCCACCAGCAAAGCTCCTGTCCCCTCTGTGTCATCTAAACGCCATGGAGATGCCCTCCTTCCTGTACTTTTTTCCCCTTAGAAAGTTCATTTTTTCATTCTGATTATAAAAGTAAAAATGTTCACTGTATATAATTTATAAAATAGGAAGAAAAATACTACCCATAATCCCACTCTCGAGACAACCACTATTACATGTGGGGGTGTTTCCTGCTAGTCTTTGCTGTTCGTAGGTTAGAAAGGCGCTTATCTTTGCCTTTTTCTCTCACTTACTGTTGTAAGTGACTGGCTGTGTGTGTTTCTAGGGCTGGCTCCTTTCCTTTTTGCTTGTCTTTCGGACCCTCTGTCTCTAATTCCCTTTTTTTCTTAATCTAGCTTTTCCATGACGAGGTATAGTTTTTTGAGGCTTTAAAAAAATTGAGGTGAAATTCAGGCCGGGTGCAGTGGCTCATGCCTGTAACCCTAGCACTCTGGGAGGCCAAGATGGGAGGATCACTTGAGGTCAGGGATCTGAGACCAGCCTGAGCAAGAATGAGACCCCATCTCTACAAAAAATAGAAAAATTTGCTGGGCATGGTGGTGCATGCCTGTCGTCCCAGCTACTAGGGAGGCTGAGGCAGGAGGATTGCTTGAGCCCAGGAGTTTGAGGTTGCAGTGAGCTATGATGACACCACTGTACTCTAGCCATGGTGACAGAGTGAGACTGTCTCAAAAAAAAAAAAAAAAAATTGAGATGAAATTCAAATAAGATAAAATAACCATTTTAACATTCACTGGTGTTCCAAGACATTTGTCTCTGTTGTTATTCCATTTCTGCTGTTTGTGTATCTGAGTGTCTGGCCCCGTCTCTCCTCAGGCCCGGCCTCTGTGGGGCCCCCGGTGGAGGAGTCTGTGGCCCATGCCGTGGCGGCAGTGGGGAGCCGCCTGTACGTCTCTGGAGGCTTTGGGGGGGTGGCCCTGGGCCGCCTGCTGGCGCTGACCCTGCCCCCCGACCCCTGCCGCCTGCTGCCCTCACCCGAAGCTTGTAACCAGTCTGGGGCCTGCACCTGGTGCCATGGGGCCTGCCTGTCGGGGGACCAGGCCCACAGGTAACCATGGCGACGGGCAGCCCATCGCCAGCAGGCGGTAGTGGGGCCTGCTGAAGGGGGTCCTGTGCTAGGCCAGGCTGGGAGGGAGGCCCCAGGAGTGGACCGTCTGCTTCAGGATCCAGCTCACACCTGGGAAAGCGGGTGAGTCAGAGGGGCAGGGGCGGCCGGGGGGAGCTCCGAGTGGGGAGCCCTGGCTGTGGCTGGGGCCTCGTGCAGGCGTGCTTCCTGGAGGCGCTGGGCCTGAACCAGGCACTAAGAGAGCGGTAGAGTTGAGACGAGCAAAGATGCGGAAGTGAGGCTGCGCGTTGTGTATTTGAGCGACGACCTGTCCTGGGGGTAAACGAGACAGACCCCTCAGCTGCAGTCAGGGGATCCAGCCTCTCTGGAAGCAGAAGACGCTTTCGTGGGTCCCTCGCAAGCCCATCTGGCTGCCCCGTCATCCTCTCCTGATGTGGGGCTGTGGACTGGCCTTATCTGCCCTGTGAAGTGTCATCGCATTTACTGCAGGGAGGTTAATGGGTCTGATGACGGGGTGCTCCCCCAGACCCCCTGAGGGGTGTGTGTAATAACAGGCACACCCACTGCTTTTCTGAAATCTGGAAAGTTCTGAAACATGTGTGCCTCCCAGGATCTGGGCTGAGGGATTGTGGACCTGCCCTGTGGGTGGCAGGAGCCACAGAAGGTTCGAGCAGGAGAGGAGCAGGGGCAGGCCCAGGCAGAAAGATCCCTGGAGCTGTTGTGAGAGGTGGAGTGGGGAGGGGAGGCAGCGGATGGGGACTGGGTGTGGAAGGGGTGCAGGGGTGGAGAGGAGAGGACGGTCAGAGAGAAATTCAGGAGGCAGAAGGCCTTGGTGGCTGGAGGGACAGGGGGACCTGGGATATGGTCCAGCATCTCCAGCCCAGATGACAGGTGGACGTGGGACCATCCATCACCAAGTGGGGATGGGGAGGACCAGGTTCAGGAGGCTGGTGCTGAGTCCGCTTGGGACGAGGCAGGGGGGGCCTGCAGGACAGTGTCTTGGAGGCGGGAGGACGGGGCCTGGCTGGGTGTGAGTCAGCCAGGCCTCATGCCCTCCAGACTGGGCTGTGGGGCACCCCCCTGCTCCCCGATGCCTCGCTCCCCGGAGGAATGTCGACGTCTCCGGACCTGCAGTGAGTGCCTGGCCCGCCACCCCCGGACCCTGCAGCCTGGAGATGGAGAGGTGAGTGGGTGGGGGGGATGAGGAGCAGCAGGTGGGTGGGGCGGTCCTGGTCTCCACTCTGGTCAGCTGTCCCACCCGCCTCAGGGGCTTGGGAACCCCTGGGCCCTTTAGCTGGCTCAGAAGGAGTGCTGGGGGCCCCTGAGGACCCCTCCGAGCGCGTCTTCCCCCGCCAGGCGCCTGCCCCCCGCTGTAAGTGGTGTACCAACTGCCCCGAGGGTGCCTGCATCGGGCGCAATGGGTCCTGCACCTCGGAGAATGACTGTCGCATCAACCAGCGAGAGGTCTTCTGGGCGGGGAACTGCTCGGAGGCCACGTGCGGGGCGGCCGACTGCGAGCAGTGCACGCGGGAGGGCAAGTGCATGTGGACGCGGCAGTTCAAGAGGACGGGTGAGCGGCCGGGCTTGGTCCCCGAGACGGGAGTTTGGGGGCCGGGACTCCTGGGTCTGAGGGGGGAGGAAGCTGGGGGCCCAGCACTGGCGACTCTCCCCTGTGCCCCCAACCCCAGGGGAGACCCGCCGCATCCTGTCAGTGCAGCCCACCTATGACTGGACGTGCTTCAGCCACTCTTTGCTGAACGTGTCCCCGATGCCGGTGGAATCGTCGCCCCCGCTGCCCTGCCCCACCCCCTGTCACCTCCTACCTAACTGCTCCTCCTGCCTGGACTCCAAGGGCGCGGACGGGGGCTGGCAGCATTGCGTCTGGAGCAGCAGCCTGCAGCAGGTACCGTGCCCAGCGGGGCAGGGGCCGGGCAAAGGCCCGTCCAGGTCTCCCTCCTCTGCCCTGGCACTGACCTTTCTTCTTCCACCTCCTCCTCTGTCCTCTCTTTTCCGTCTCCCCGGCTGTAGCCCCACAGTCCTGCTTTCTCTCTCCTCCCACCATCTCTGTCTTCCCCCTTTGCCTGTGAGTGTCCTGCCCCTGCTGTGTCTTCCGGCCATGCCTCTGTGTCCCCTTCCTGGCTGCCCGGCCTCTGTGTCTCTCTTATTCCCGTCCTTTCATTCATTTCTTACGATCTGGCTCAGGGGCTCCCCGACTTTAACCATCTGGCATTGTTCTTTACTGGCTTTGGCCTCAGAGCCTGGGGCAGGCAGCAGAGAGAGCTGGTCCCTGGCCTGCTTCTTCCTCCCATCCTCCCTCCCCTTAATAAATTCGTTATCCAGCACCTTCCTTGTGCCGGGCACTTTGCTAGACTATGGGGTTTGTCAACGGACAAGCTAGGGTCTTGCTCTCAGAACACAGGACAAGCAGTTTATAGTGTTGGACGTCATCACATTTGGCCGCTAGGGAGGTCACAGCAGAAAGTGCTGTGCAGGGCTGGGTACTCGGTTGTCTACCCCTCCCAGGTTGCCCCACCATCTGCCAGCAAGTGCACTAAATTTAGATCTAGACGCCCAGCCTGGCAGAGGCTTTTCCTCTGGCCTTTCAGCCAGGCCCGGTTCGTCGCAGGCGCTGACCCGCAGTGGGCTCAGAGCTCCGGCCAGAGCAGTCAGGGTTTTCTATTTCGGGATCGCAGGCTGCTTTGCTTTTTCCTAAGGGCTTTCAGACAGCCAGTCCAGATTAATCTCTTTCCTCTCATGCTTCGCTTAAGGCCCCAGCAGTAAATAAAATAAAAGCTCTTAAATGCTGAGGTAAGTTCCCAGGGGTCTGAACCTCATTGTGCGTGTAGCTGGGGTCCCAAACAGCGGTGTGGCCTCAAGGCCACATGTGGCCTTCGAGATCCCCGAGTGCGGCCTGTGACCGGATCCAAACTTCACAGAACAAATCCCTTTGTTAAAAGCATTTGTTGTGTAAAATTCAGATTCAGTCAAAAGGCCGCACTCAGGGACCGGAAGGCCACGTGTGTCCCGGGGGCCGCAGGTTCCCCACCCCTGGAGAAGTTGCTACCTGGTCCCTAACCAAGGGCTCCTTAGCCTCCCAGCCTGGGGTGGGAGAAGGCTTTTTGTCGCAGCAGCCAGCTCTGTGTTTTTTCTAAGTGACTGTGGTTTACAGCCCCTCTGCTGATACTCTTTTCTGTGCCCATCTGGGGTCGCTGCCTTCCCGAGCTGTAAGAAAACAGTGTCCTCAGCTAGCTGGGTAAAGGGAACTCCCTACGCCATATGGTGGTACCTCCTGGAACCTGGGGTAGAAGGTGCAGCCAGGCCTCCCCAGGGGCTGCAGATGCAGCCTGGAAGGTTCTTTTCTCTCTGTGGGGTGCGTGGTTCCCATCTCTGCCTCTCTCTGCAGCTATCTCGTCCTGTCTCTCCATGTGCTCGTCGTTTGCTCATCCATGCAGTCCCCCCATCCTAAGTCTACGTGACCTTCCTGTTTCAAGGACCTCCCTAGCCCGACATCTAGTCTTGATGTCGTTACAAATGCTTGAGAGGGAGAACGTGACGACCCCAGCTAGCGCACCTGGCTGTGGCCAGCGGGGAGCAAGGCCTCGGAGGAGAGCGTGGTCAGCAAAGATACCCGGAATGTGTTCGTTTGACTCTCTTTCCCCGCCTCTCTCCCCCCTACAGTGTCTGAGCCCCTCTTACCTGCCCCTGCGGTGTATGGCCGGAGGTTGTGGGCGGCTGCTCCGGGGACCCGAGAGCTGCTCCCTGGGCTGTGCTCAGGCAACGCAGTGTGCCCTGTGCCTGCGGCGCCCCCACTGCGGCTGGTGTGCCTGGGGGGGCCAGGATGGGGGCGGCCACTGCATGGAGGGCGGACTCAGCGGCCCCCGTGATGGTGAGAGGGGTTTGGGGGTGGGGCAAGAAGGGCTGGCCCTTAGCTGGGGTCTGGCGCGGAGAACACGAACATGGGGGTGCTGAGCCAGACTGGAAGTGGGGCTCAGAGGAAGTAGGAGCGAGAGCCTGGCTGGCTGGGGGTGGGCGGTGCAGAGGCCCCCCCCTCCAGGCGAAGCCCTGTATTCCCGGTGCCAGGGCTGACGTGTGGGCGTCCCGGGGCCTCCTGGGCCTTCCTGTCCTGCCCCCCTGAGGACGAGTGTGCGAACGGGCACCACGACTGCAATGAGACGCAGAACTGCCACGACCAGCCCCACGGCTACGAGTGCAGCTGCAAGACGGGCTACACCATGGACAAGTGAGGCTGCAGGCGAGAGGCAGGCTGGGGCGGCCGGAGGAGCAGGGCCAGACAGGCCAGGCTGAGGTCTAGAGCAGCCGTCCCCAACCTTTTTGGCACCAGGGACCAGTTTCGTGGAAGATGATTTTTCCACAGATCGGGTGGGGGTGGGGGATAGTTTCAGGATGATTCAAGTGCGTTACATTTATTGTGCACTTTATTGCTATTATTATTACACTGTAATATGTAATGAAATAATTACACAACTCATAATGCAGAATCAGTGGGAGCCCTGAGCTTGTTTTCCTGCAACTAGACAGTCCCATCTGGGGGTGATGGGAGACAGAGGCTGATCTGACAGGAGGCGGAGCTCGGGCGGTGATGCGAGCGATGGGGAGTGGCCGTAAATACAGATGAAGCTTCGCTTGCTTGATCTGTGTGGGCCCCACCCGCCAAGTTCCATGGAAGACAATTTTTCCACGGATGGGCGGTGGCAGGCAGAGCTCTGTGGCCCAGTCCCTGTCAGGTGGCAGGCCAGTGCCGCAGGTGTAGAGCAAAGCAGGACGGAAGAAAAGGAAGTCCAATGCGTGAAAGTGGCGAGATCTGTTTGAGATTCGTGAAGGGTGTGGGTGGTGGGCTTGGCCAGGAGGGAAGGGGATGGTGAGCTAGATCAGGGATGAATGAGTTTGCTCGGTGACCCGGAAGGAGGGTTGTGACTCTGGAGGACGTGGTGAGCCAGGCCCTGGAGAGGAGAGGGTGATGGGACAGACCAGGGAAGAGGGACCAGTTGAGAAGAGAGTGGAGCAGCGGGTGAGGGGCTGGGCCACGGGCCGTGAGGAGCGTAGCCTCCTATCGGGCCACTTGCCCTGACCCCCACTCCCCCCGCAGCGTGACAGGGCTCTGCCGCCCCGTGTGTGCCCAGGGCTGCGTGAACGGCTCGTGCGTGGAGCCCGACCACTGCCGCTGCCACTTCGGCTTTGTCGGTCGCAACTGCTCCACGGAGTGTCGCTGCAACCGCCACAGCGAGTGTGCTGGCGTGGGGGCGCGCGACCACTGCCTGCTCTGCCGCAACCACACCAAGGTGGGCTGCCTGGGGCCTCAGACCGTGACGGCGGGACCCAGGCCCTTGCTGGCCTTCAGCCGGTGCTCAGGCATCTTGAGCCCGGTTCCGAGCCCCGATGAGCCGGGGGTGGGGAAGCGGTGGCAGAGCCCTGGGCCGGGGAGGTGTGGGGAGATGTTGGGGCTGCCCTGGAGTAGCGGACAGAGTGGGTGCTGGGCCGGGAGGGCAGGCACGTGGAGAGGATCTGGGATGGTGCAGGGAAGGGCTCTTTGAGCTCAGGACTTTGCGCTGCAAGTGCGTAAGTGAAGGCGGGGCCTGAATCGCAGCCGGGCTGGGATTGTCCAAACCGGGTGCCCCAGCCCTTGCTGCCCTCCCGTCCGTGTGCATTCTCCAACCTTCCTGACCACCCTGTCCCGGGTTCTCAGGGCAGCCACTGTGAACAGTGTCTCCCGCTGTTCGTGGGTTCAGCCGTTGGGGGCGGGACCTGCCGGCCCTGCCACACCTTCTGTCGTGGAAATAGCCACGTCTGCGTCTCCAGGAAGGAGCTTGAAATGGCCAGAAAGGAGCCGGAGAAGTATTCTCTAGATCCAGAGGAGGTGAAAGAGGCTGAGTCCCCAAATCCTGGATCTGAGGGAGGAGGGGCTGGGCCTGGACCCCTGGGTCTGGGGGAGGAGGGGCTGGGGCTGGACCCCTGGGTCTGAGGGAGGAGGGGCTGGGGCTGGACCCCTGGGTCTGAGGGAGGAGGGGCTGGGGCCGGACCCCTGGGTCTGAGGGAGGAGGGGGCTGGTCCATGCCTTTTTGTGATCACCCTGTCCTTCCTTGGCCAGATCGAAAACTGGGTGACAGAGGGTCCTGGTGAAGACGAGGCTGTGTGCGTGAACTGCCAGAACAACAGCTACGGGGACAAGTGCGAGAGCTGCCTCCACGGCTACTTCCTCCTGGATGGGAAATGCACCAAGTGAGAGGAGGGTGTCCGGGACCCGCATCCTTCTCGTTAGGGATAGCTTTGGAGCCAGGCCCCACCCCCCAGTCCTCTGCCCTCAGTCGGTAGAGGATGAAACTCCCAGGGATCCCCCAGGCTGGGGCCGGGTTGGGGGGAAGGAGGTAGACTCAGTTCAGAGACCCCCCCACCTCCAAGGCCCGTGCTGAAATGCGGGCTACGCAGCAGCCCTGACCGAGACTGGTGGGCAGGAGAGGGCGGCTGAGGGAAGAGGCGTTGAAACAACCTCCCTATCGTGTCTCCTGCCTTCTGCATGTTCAGTGAACTCTGGACTCAGTCCACCTCGGGTTCTGATCCTGACTGCCACTTAGCTGCTCCATGGGCTTGACAGATGGCTTGACCTGTGTGAGCCTCAGTTACCTCTTGCGGCCCGTTGCACAGCGTTGAGCTCGCATATGCTGCGTCCAGCCTGGGCCCCTGCAGGTGGTGGGAGCTCTGTGACCCCCCCTTCCTTCCTGTCCTCAGATGCCAGTGCAACGGCCACGCAGACACATGTAACGAGCAGGATGGGACGGGCTGCCCGTGTCAGAACAACACGGAGACGGGCACGTGCCAGGGCAGCTCCCCCAGCGACCGCCGGGACTGCTACAAGTACCAGGTTCGGCTGGAGAAGCAAGTTATGGGCTGGGGGTCCCACACCCCAGAGAGGTCAGAGCTGGGATGAGGTGGCCAGGCTGGGGCAGGACCAAGATCATGGTTCTGAATCTATGGTCTTGGGATCCAGGTCAGCTGGATAGATGGTTCCTGAGGCCCAGTCAGTTTTAGGCCGTGGGCAGTGATGCTGGGGACCCAGATAGGAGGCTCTGGGCGGCTCTCAGATTAGTGGGGAGGCAGTCTCCAGTCATGACAGGCAGTCATAACGAAGGTTCCAAATGCCAGAAAATCCATCTCATAGTAGCTTAAGCAAAAAAAAGAAAGTGTATTGGCTCTCAAAACTGAGATCCAGATCTGCCTTCAGGAATGGCTGCATCCAGGTGCTCACACAGTGATGTCAGAAGTCTCTGCCTCCCTGTATCTTGATTCTGCTTTCCTCTTTGTTAGCTTCTTTCTCAGGCAGGTTCTCCCCAAGTGGCAGCTCCCACGTGATGGCCCGAGGCTAACAAGATCTCAGTTCTAACACCCAGATTCAAATTCCCCTTGCGTCCATCTCCTTGTCTTCTTCAGGGAGGCTCCTGGAGCACTTGGCCACCTGGAGCACTTGGCACCGCCCACCTGGCTGGCTGCCACGTTGTGGCTGCATCTCCCATGAGGAGGACATGCCATGCTCCCTCCTGGGGGACACCACTCCACCCCACCCACTTTCTCTATCCAGTTCCAGAGGAAAGCGAAAGTCCCTTGCTCCCAGTCTCTTACCCATCTGCAGAAACATCATAGCTGCAAAGGTGCAATTCCACCCCAATTGCCGGCGTTTTTCCACTTTTCTTGCCCCCCCCGAACATTTCCATCCTGGATCAGAATTTTTGCTTTCTTGTGAAGCAAAAGACCCACTGGCTTCTACCAGAGAGTCCCAGAGATGAATGCAGACCTCCTCGTCTAGGAGGTCTGGTGGCTGCTCTGAAGCAGCAGTTTCTTTCAGTTCTGCCAGGAATGGCAGTGACAGCTGGTATGTACGGGGCGCGTGCCGCCGAGCTGGGAGCTGTGCTGTACAGACAGTAGCAACAGGACAGATGTGGAAGGCTCGGCAAGGCTGTGCTGGGGCCTCAGTCAGGTGTGGATGTAAAAGGAAAACAGGCCCAGAAACATCAAATGGCCTGTTCCAGGTCAGGCAGCTGGTTGGGTTCGGAGCCGGGACTGACCCTGGTCTGATCGTGGAACTCTAGTGGTTTCTTCTAAGCTACAGGAATCATAATAGCTGTTACCCATCCATCCACTCATTCATGCAACACATATTTATTGAGCACCTACTATATGCCACACACTGCGAGGCACTGGGGACACAGTAGGGAACAAACCAGGCAAAACATTCTGTCCTCAGGAGTTTATTTTCTTGTGGAGGAGTCCGGCAGTGAGTAAACAAGCGAGTGAGAGGCGCAGTGTGTTAGCAGCCATGAGCAGCCAGGGAAAAAATCAAGCAGAAAAAGGGGCTAGGACGTGTTGGGAGTGGAAATGGTTCATACAGTGGCCAAGGAGGACAATGAGAAGGTGGCACTTGAGTCAGGACCTGATGGAAGTGAGGGTGCTGGACAAGCAGACATGTGGGAGGACAGCCACGTGGCAGAGGGCCAGCCAGTGCAAAGGCCCTGAGGCGGGAGTGTGCCTAGCACAGCCCGGAAGCAGCCGGGCAGCAGGTGGGGCTGGCCGAGCCATGCCTAGTGCCGGGCGTGTGATTTCAGCGGCCCCGTGAGCATGTCACGGTTGCCACCTGTGTGTGGAGTCTCAGGCTCACTGAGGTTAAGTCACTAGTCCAAGGCCACACGGCTGGTGAGGAGATAGAGCCAGAATGCAGCAGGGCCTTTCGCCACTGTGCCTCAGAGTGCCACCGGCCTCGGCATCACGGTGCTGGAGGCACCGGGGTGACACCAGGGACTGCAATGCTGGAGTGTCGGGTCCTGGCAGCATCTACACTGTGGCAGGGGGGCTCCAGGAGGGTCCCCAGGAAGCAGCTGGGACAGTGCAGGGGGCTCCAGGGCAGTAGCTACGTACCAACAGGTGTAGGATGTCAGTCAGTCCTGCTTGGGGGCCAGTCCGGCACCAAGCTCAGTCCTGATGGCCACCCCACTGCCCCCTGCCCTGCCTGCAGTGCGCCAAGTGCCGGGAGTCGTTCCATGGAAGCCCGCTGGGCGGCCAGCAGTGCTACCGCCTCATCTCCGTGGAGCAGGAGTGCTGCCTAGACCCCACGTCCCAGACCAACTGCTTCCATGAGCCCAAGCGCCGGGCTCTGGGCCCTGGCCGCACCGTGCTCTTCGGCGTGCAGCCCAAGTTCACCAACGTGGACATCCGCCTGACACTGGACGTGACCTTCGGTGCTGTGGACCTCTACGTCTCCACCTCCTATGACACCTTTGTGGTCCGCGTGGCCCCTGACACTGGAGTCCACACCGTGCACATCCAGCCTCCCCCGCCCCCGCCGCCGCCCCCACCCCCTGCTGATGGTGGGCTCCGGGGGACCGGGGATCCAGGGGGACCAGGGGCCGGGAGTGGGCCGGGCGCCCCAGCAGAGCCACGGGTACGAGAGGTGTGGCCACGGGGCCTGATCACCTACGTGACAGTGACGGAGCCGTCGGCCGTGCTCGTGGTCCGCAGCGTGCGGGACCGGTTGGTCATCACCTACCCGCACGAACACCACGCCCTCAAGTCCAGCCGCTTCTACCTGCTGCTGCTGGGCGTGGGAGACCCGAGCGGGCCCGGCGCCAACGGCTCCGCCGACTCGCAGGGCCTGCTCTTCTTCCGGCAGGACCAGGCCCACATCGACCTGTTCGTCTTCTTCTCCGTCTTCTTCTCCTGCTTCTTCCTCTTCCTGTCACTCTGTGTGCTCCTCTGGAAGGCCAAGCAGGCGCTGGACCAGCGGCAGGAGCAGCGCCGGCACTTGCAGGAGATGACCAAGATGGCCAGCCGCCCCTTTGCCAAGGTCACCGTCTGCTTCCCACCCGACCCTACTGCTCCAGCCCCGGCCTGGAAGCCGGCTGGGCTCCCGCCGCCTGCCTTCCGCCGCTCGGAGCCCTTCCTGGCACCCCTGCTGCTGACAGGGGCCGGGGGACCCTGGGGACCCATGGGAGGAGGGTGCTGCCCACCAGCCATCCCTGCCACCACTGCTGGCCTGCGAGCTGGGCCCATCACCCTCGAGCCCACAGAAGATGGCATGGCTGGCGTGGCCACGCTGCTGCTCCAGCTGCCTGGCGGGCCCCATGCACCCAACGGGGCCTGCCTGGGGTCAGCCCTTGTCACCCTGCGGCACAGGCTGCACGAGTACTGTGGGGGCGGCGGGGGCGCTGGAGGCAGTGGGCACGGGGCTGGAGCAGGCCGCAAGGGACTGTTGAGCCAGGACAACCTCACCAGCATGTCCCTCTGACCTGCTGCAGGGTCCTCAGCCACAGTATTGAGTCGCCCGATGGGGCCGCCCTGGACTTGGGCCCATTCCCCTGGGGGCCCCTGGACACTGTCTCCTCAGAGACCACTGGCCCCCTCCCCCCAGGGGTGCCCAGACAGGGCCTCCTTTGTTCTGCATTCAGCAGCTATTTATTGAGCACTTACTATGTGCCAGGCACTGTTGTAGGCACGGGGCAAAGCAGGAACCGAGCGAGAAGTGAGGTTCCCTGATCTCATGGGACGTAGGTTCCAGCGAAGGGAGACAGTCGGCACACGTGCGTGTGTGCACACACAAGTAAGATGGCTTCAGAGAGGGATCCATGCTGTGACTCCTCAGCGGGATGTGGCAGCGAGGGAGCACGGGGTAAAGTCGATCGGGCACTCAGAGAAGCTCGACTGAGAATGACCGAGAAGAACTGACCATGGGAAGAGCTTCGGGAACCGTTTCCAGGCAGCGGGAAATGCAAGGGCAGAGGCCCTGAGGTGGGAACCAGCTTATTTTATTGAAAGGACGAGAAAACTGGCCATTGTGACCCAGACCAAGTGTGAGGAGACGAGGCTGGGGACAGGCAGGGGCTGGATCACCCAGGGCCCAGGTGGAGTTTGGGGTTTAATTCTCAGGGCAATGGGAAGCTGTCGGACGGCTTTTGGAGGCGGAGCGACAGGATCCGACGTACCTATTTAAGAGATCACTCAGCTATGGACTGGAGGGGACGAGAGAGGCAGCAGGGGGATGGGGCGAGGACCAGGCCAGGGCGGTGGCAGTCAGGATGCAGGATGTGTGTGGAAGAAGGTAACAACAGTGTGGATGTCGGGGGGCAGGGGCGGGGACAAATCCAGGATAACCCCTAACTTTGTGGCTCGAAGCATGGGGCTGTTTAAGGTGGGGCAGGCAGGGCTCGCGGGGAAGATCAAGAGTCCAGTTTTTGACACGAGTGGCCTTGTAGACATCTCTTCAGCCAGGTGCAACTGGGGATGGAGACACGACGGTGAGTATTTCAACAGCAGGAATTGAGGGCAGGGACTCGGTAGCGCTGGTGAGGGCAGTGGCTGCAAAGGGACAGATGGGACAGTGTGATAGCCCAGAGGTGAGCAAGAGCAGGAAGCTGTTGCCACCCCCCTAGGCTGGAGGGACAAAGCTCAGCGTGGGTGTCACCCAACCCTGGGGCCAGGGTCACCCAGTGAAGCTGGGACAACCGAGGCCTGTTCAGAGGGAGCCTCGGGGGCAAAACCTCTGCCTGAGGTGCGGCCTCGGGTGAGCACGGGAGGGGTCCCAGGCTGGGTTGGACATGCCGGCACCATCAGCGCATGGCTGTCTTCAGACAGTGCTGCTTTGACGATTTCTGGGCCCTCCCAAGGGGCTGCCCCCACCCGAGCCACCTCCATGGACTTCTGAGCTCCTCTACCCCTTGAGGACCCCCCTGCCCCCAATGCTGGCAGTCTTCTTGAACTTGGGGCTCTCCTTCTGCCCCAAGACTTCAACCCCCAGCTGCTTTTTTGGTCCTTGCGAGGCTGGGCACTGCATCTTCCCCTTGCTGGGGGCCCAATCCGAGAGGCCCTGCCAGTGTGTGCATGTGGGAGGCGGCGGGGGCCACATCTGAGGAAGAGGGGAGTGGCCGAACCAACAAATAAAAAGTGGGGAAGACGCAGGTGTCCGAGTGCGGTCTGCGTGCAGGAGGGGGAGGGACGGGGTCTTGGCTCTCTGAACCAGCGCCTGAGTGCTGCATAACCTGGACAGTTGTCCTTGTCGTGATGCCACCTCCAAGCCGCGTGGCCTGGGCCTTGTTCCTGGCTGGCCCTCCTAGGCGGCGGATGGGGTGGGGTGTGCCGGGACGGAAGGCTGTTGTTCCCCAGAAGGGGTGGACTGAGGGGAGGTGTGAGCAGTGAGGCCTCTGACCCTTCCCCGGATCCCTGCTGCAGGGACAGCCCAGTGTGGCTCAGGGGGGAAAATGGACTGTCTTGGTCCCAGGGAAGGTTTTATTCCGGGCCCTGATGTAAGAGTTCCAACTAGACAGCATGGGGGCTGCAATGAGACCCTGGCATGATGAGCTTTCTTTAATTCAAGTGGTCAAAACTGAAAGCATCATGGGAGTTGTCTTATCTGCCACCCCCTTGAGCAAGCGGAAGCTCTGACATGAGGACAGATCGCTGTCCCCTCCGTCAGTCTCTACTCAGCGTGGACATCTTGCTGGGAGTGTTAAACAATGCACATTTTCTGTGCAGCCCGGGCCCTGCGTGCAAGCTGCTTGCTTTCTCAGGTGTTCAGCCGAGAACACAGTGATGTTCTAGACTTAGGGGTTATGTGTCTCCAGAGTGGCCCAGGAATAACATGCTATTTTCTTACTTTGTGGGCAATTGATGGGATTTTTCAGGGATTACTGACCATACATGAGTCTTGCCTTTACCGGCTGCCCGTAGTCCCTGCCCCCCAGGATGTGGGAACTCGCACGTCTGAGCACCACGTGTTACGTAGTCTGCCTGGCGTGTACTGCAGTGGTTTCGTTTGATCTCTCCAACAACCCTGTGAGGGAGGCGCTGTGTGATCCTTGTTTTGGAGACGAGAAAACAAAAGGTCACAGACATCATTTAGCTGTTGAGTGACAGCTGCTGTTTGAGCACTGGCCTTCTGACTCTCAAATCGAGGTGTCTCAAATCCACGCGGGAGGATCACTTGAGGCCAGGAGTTCAAGACCAGCCTGGGCAACGTGGCCAGACCCCGTCTCTACAAAAAATGAGCTGGGTGTGGTGGTGCGTGCCTGTAGTCCCAGCTACTCAGGAGGCTGAGGTGGGAGGATCGCTTGAGTTGAGGAATTTGAGGTTATGGTGAGCTACGATCGCCTCACAGATCCTGTCTCAAAAAAAAAAAAAGCCGATTTAGCCACTGCAGAGCTGATGAGCGGCGGGACGTGCTGCCCGAGAGACGCAGTCCCAAGGCCAGAGGACAGCTTATCCTGCATGGCCAGAGAGGAGCTAAGGTTCTTCTTCAAGAGTCCTGCAGGCTGTGTTGGACCCCTTAGGTAAGGTCTCTTCCTAGCAGTCATCCTGTGACTTTGCCCTCCCTAAGCAGAGCATTCGCACTGTGACCTGGCGTCGTCGCTGGGACGCCGAGCCACTGTCTCTCCAACACCTGTCAGGGCCACACACGTGCGCCTGCACGAATGCACCATAGCGCACTTTCATCTTCCCTGCACGTCAGCCTCTCAGCTGTCACTTCTCCCTGGATGCACCTGGATGCGGGAGGCACGAGGTACGGTGAGAAGAACCCTGGGCATGCAAGGCCGGGCACCTGGGTTCCAGCCTGGGTGTGGCTACCGACACCCTGGGGGCTTCAGGGAAAGGCCTGGAATTACACTGAGGGCTTACAGCCCTCCAGGCGCTGTTCTGGGTACTTGGCATGAGTCTTTTAATCTTCCCAGTATCACCACTGGGAGATACAGGCTCCTCTTCCCAGATGTGAAAGCGAAGTCTCTTGCCTAAGAACTCAGGGCCAATTAGGAGGCGAGCCAGACTCTGACCCAAGCCTGTCCGACTCTCTGTTGCCCCGTACATCACCTCCAAAGTCCCTTCGCTTTCCTGAGCCAATATCTTCTGTCCATGATCACCTACAATGGGCCCCACACTGATGTGGGTACAGTGAACAAGATCCCTGCCCTCGTGGAGCCGATAAGCCAGTGGGGTGCTGGGTAATAAGCAAATGACGTGGTATGTTGGAAAGTGACCAGTAATGGCAGTGAAGGGAGCAGGGGGTTGGTGCTTGCGATTGAATGTAAGGTGGGAAGGGAAACCCTCTCATAAGATGCCGTGTGAGCAGAAGTGAGGGGGTGAGTCAGAGGGACATCTGAGGGAAGAGCATTCCAAGCTGTGGGAACAGCCAGTGCAAAGGCCCTGGGGCAGGAGTGTGCTGAACATTTTGGAGAAGAGATTCGTGTGGTTGAAGCAGAGGGAGTAAGGGGGAGACGGGGAGGAGACAACATCACAGAGGGAACAAGTGGCAGATCCTGCAGGTCCTCGGGCCACAGCGAGGACTCTTACTCTGTGGGAGGGGGGTGGAGCCATGGGAGGATTCTGAGCACGGCAGGAATGTGATCTGACTTAGGTGTTCACAGGATTCCTCTGCGAGGAAGAGACCAGGTGGGTGGGGTAGAGTGGGAAGCCCAGTGAGGGAGCTGCTGCTTTCGTTTGGGTTGGAGGGGAGGGTGGCTGGGATAAGATGGGGGCAGCGGAGTGGGAGAAGCCGTGGGATTCTGGGTAAATTCTGAAAGTAGAACCAACCGCGTTTGTTGACAGATTGGGCCCTGGGTGAGAGAGAAAGTGACTGAGCGACCGAAAGGGTGGAGTTTGCCATTTCCCGGGGCGGGGAAGACTGTGGGAGAAGGAGTAGGTTTAGGAGAGTGGGGATCAGCATTTAGATTTTGGACGTGTCCAGTCTGAGATGGTTCTTAGATATCCCGCGTGAAGATGTCACTTGATGGTTGGATACACAGATGGGGGGGGGAAGAACAGCAAATAATAGTAATAATGTGTTAATATTAGAATATTTATTATATATCGTATAACAGTGACATTATCAGTGACTTACTGAGTTCACGCTTCAGCCTTTCCTTCTGTCGCATCTCTTGTTCCCACAGTAGCCATTTGACACATTAGGGATTGTGTCCTCACAGGGGAAACAGGTTCAGAAAGGGCTATGAAGTCGTCAGCATAACACAGCTAATAAGTGGCAAGAGTCCAGATTAGATCCCAGGTCCGTCCAATTTTGAGACCTAAACATTTTCTGATCTGCTAGTTGCTTTTGCAGTAAAGAAGGCTGGTTGAACCGGATAATCCTTAAAGATTCCTTTCTGCAGCGG